TCCTAATCCACCTGGTTGCTGGCACTTTCCACCTCTCATCTCAGTCTGGGTTCTCAAAGTCCCTTCATGTTTCTGTGACCCTGTCTGATTCCACTGTCTTCCTGCCTCTCTGATGTCTGCATCGATAGGTCCCAATACAGAGCACACGAATCACCAAGAAATGAAAAGAGGGTTCTCCCTGTACAACAGAGACAGCATCAACCAGAGCACACAAAGTTACATTTCATCTATGTGTGTGTGTTTGTGTGTGTGTGTGCACGCGCACGCACGCACACAGGTGCATGTTTCACATGGAACTTGATTTGATAAAACTTTCCAGACTTAAAACAGTAAGGCAAAAAAATAACCAGATTTCTTTTCTGAAGGTTAATTGTCATCTTGTGTGCATGAGTATTTGCTTCCAGGTCTATTCATATACTCTATATATGCCTGTACCAGTGGAAGCCAGAAGAGGGTACCAGATCCCCTGAAACTGGAGTTACAGACTGTTGTGGGCTACTATGTGGGTACTGGGGTCCAAGCTTGATTCCTCTGCAGGAGCAACAAGTGCTTTTATCCACTAAGCAGTCTCCCCAGGTTCCAGATTTTTTTTTTGGTATGGAAAATATTCCAGATTTTAAATGTTGCTAACTAAACTGCAAAAATTACAAACCTTATGTAGGTCAACCAAAACACTCCACCATCTGTGTTTCTCCCCTTCGAATTTAAAACAAGCATTGGGTGTAAGTAGATGCTTGCTCAACAATCATTAAATACCTCCACTAAAAACTGAACAAGGAACAATGAAGCAATACTGCTTATTTATTCTGAGACATTGTTAGACTCTTCTATCTTCTCTGTTCTGTGTTCTAAACCTGCTACAGGCTAATCTAAGTACAGGATGACTAAATACTTACAGAAAGGGAAGTAGGTGTTGAACAAGCCAGGGTTATAAAAAGCAAAGAGGTTTTTAGTACCTGGCACTTTAGGACCCAAAATAAAGGCACTCAAGAGTCCCTAAAGGGATGCTTTGCTTTGTCTAAAAAAGACCAAGAAAGAAATCCACAGTATATATGCACCTCTTTCCTTTCTCACCCTTGGGAAAATATATAACTGTACACATTGTTGTTTTACTTGGATGGTCTTGTTTTCCTCCTTTGAGGTATAGTATAAATGAGGGTCTATCTTACCTGTAACATCCTTTGGTAGAAAGTTAAAGAACTCCCACTCCTAACTAAGAACTATGGACCCCTGATGGCTTCTAGGCAAAGAGGGTCAGTTTTCTTCACGAGTGTGTCTCCTATAGGTTGATCATGCTGCGGAGGATGCCCCCACACCATATGGTCAGCACCAAGCAGGCTCCACAAGTTATTTACAAAACAAACAAAAAGAAAACATAGTATGGGAATGGTATAAAAAGGCAAAGGTATTGGGAGTGAATCTGGGAGGAATTACAGGGAAAAATCAGGGTAAGTCTAATCAAAATATAATTTATTAAATTCTCAGAGAATTAATAAAGTTTAAAAAAAAACTTGTGACTAATCCTACAGTCTACTATAATCTAGTTAGCAGAGACTCCCACCCCCAGCTGCCCAGTGCTGGAATTAACCTGCCTACCTCCCAAGCTACTCAGTGTCTACAAATCTCCAGGTTCCCCAGTTTCTGGTTCCATGGTCAGTGTCTTTGTGTAAAGACAGAGGTGAACTCAGTCTGCTGAATGAGAGAGTGCCTGAGGCTCTGGGAACAAAGCAACAGCCAGATTCTTAAAGCTCACTGGGGAGGGAGGAGGCTGGTACTGGAACAGAGGTGAACCCCGAGTTTGGCTTCCCCTGAGAAGGGAGTTTAGTGAGCAAACACGGTTTATTTCATCCAGGGAACTACTGGAATTTGGAGATTTTTCATTTCCTAGGTGAAAGAGACAAACCACATTTTACAAAAGAAAATGAAAAGAAGAAGATGTCTAAACCATATATGACAAAATGTACAATGAGGACAATCAATAGGACAATTAATTGTAGCAGGTCTGTGACAATTGAGTCTAACAGACCATCCTTTGCAGACTTGACCTGACAGCCTTTCACAGCAGCTGGGAAAGCTTCCAGAAGGATCCCACTGCCCTCCCCCCCCCCCCCCCAGTTCTAAAACTATCCAGGTGGGTTAATCTACATATGCATTGGTCTATACTGTAAACAGTCGCCCTTCCACTCAGGAAGAGTTAACTCTTTAATCACTTCTCCAGGTCCACCTGAGCCAAAGGAATCCTTTCTCCAGTGTCAGTTTGTCCTGCTGCAGGTGGGGGTGTGGGAGGGTGCTTCTTTGCTCTCATCCTCCAGCTGTGCTAGCTCTACATGGGAGCTGGCTTTAGATGCACTAGCCTGGTGACCCAGTGACACCCCCAAATGTGTGAATACGACTACAATGGGTCCTAGTGAATAGACAGACTCCAAACTTCTAAACAGACTGCCTATTTGTCAGCAGATATTTATTTAGCAGAACACGGGATGCAGTGGGGCGAGCAGCAGGTAGAATTAATAGCTCAACTGCTCCCTGCCTGTTTCCCTCTTATTAACACCGGTGGGCAACAACGCTGTGAAATTAGAAGCACAGAAGCCAAATCAAAGTCTCTGTGTGGCCACAAGCGTCCTAACAAGTCTGAGACTGTTTTAAAACCGGCGAGACCATCTGCGCGGCACAAAACCATCCCCCTTTCAGTTGATGCGAATTCTGTTTGGTTTGGGGTATAGCCTCAAGAAAAGGCAGGTGACCAAGGGAAATAGCCAGAGTGTCAATCTCTCTCCCCGTCAAGGAACATAAAATATACCTCTCCTTATATAGTTCAAATCTACAGAGGGGGTCCTGTCTGGCCAGGAAGATGACCTGAGGTCTTTGAAGTGCCAAAGGCGGCCAGTGACACTGATTTCCTGTGGTCCTCGAGGTGTTCTGACTCACAGGCCACTCACTGGTGGTTGGGGAGATAAGCTATGCCCCCTCAGTTCACAGCTAATCATGAACGCAAAGAACGGAAATTACGTCGGTTTGCAGACTGCCTGAGGTATATGAAGAAACACGTAGTTGCTGTCGCACAGCCTGGCTTGGGCACTGCTGTGAATCAGACTGCCACCCTCAAAGTCTGTGCCGTGACTCCTTGCAGTCTGAAGACCTGGTCCCACCACTCAACCTTTTCGTACCTGTCTCTTCCTTTGCAGAACGGAGGTGACTACAATGTCTACCTAGAACTTTCTGAGGACTTGGTGAGTTCAGACATGTCAATCAGGAGTGGGTTGGATGCGCAGCATACCTTGTACAGGGAACGCTGAGGGGAGAAATGTTTTCTGGCTTCTTGGCTAGGCCTCACTGCCATTCTTCGCCCAGAAGAGCGAATCACCCAACTCCACAAACCCATGTACTCTCTACAGCTCTCTGCTGCCCCCTGCTGACATACTGTTAATACTGTAGTTGGGATGTGGTCCTCTTACCTGAAAACAGTTACCCTACTTCTCAGCAATCATCTATCATCCCAATATAGGGCTCTTTCTGGAACTCTAAGCCTCCTGTGCCTTAGTCTACCTTACTGCACACACATCGTGCTCCCTTTGCCCGCATCTCTCTGCCCAAGACAGTACCATTTCAAATGCCATGGAATTCATGCAGCCTGCCTATGTGCCCTTCTTAGAAGGAATCCGTCAGCCCAAAGCACATCACATCATTCATTGTCCACTCCCTCCTGAACTGTAATTGGTCTTAATTTGCCTTACTGCATCTTACTTAGGCCACGACTATGACTTATTTGTCTCTGCTTCCCCAGCAGCACCAACCATGGTAACCCATTCAAAAAGACTACTCTAGAATTCTCCCAGTCAGTGCAGACTCTACCGTCCTCCCCACAGGCCCCATCTCACTGCACCCTCCTCCCTGGATTCTCAGACCAGTTCCAAGCTGTCCAGGCTGCAATGGAAGCAGACTTGTGGTGAAAACACTAAGAGAGAAAGAACCTCGGCATTTCCCAGCTTCTCATCCTTTCCTGCCACAGCTGCATCCTACAGTGTGACATTCTTACTGTAGCCCAGGTCTGGGGGGTCTTCCACATCCTCATTCCTCCAGCCACAATGGTCCTTCCGTCCCTATAACACGCCACCTCCTCTACTTGCATAAGGGTTCTTCTAAATGGTTCCTTCTTCCGTCCTCTCCCAGCTTGCCCTTGCTCCAGCCACTGCTCAGGCGTTAGCTCAAACACCACTTCCTCAAAAGCATTTCTAGATTATCTACCCAAGGTCTGCAGAATAGCTGTGATTTTTTCAAAACTAACCCATTATGCTTCCAAATTCCTATTTTTGTTCATTCTATTAACACTTGCCATCCTTTGGGAACTACACACTCCATGTTCCCAGGCACAACATAATACCACACACACAGTAGATCACAATAAATATATAGTAAGTACATAAATTATATGTATATATTATGAAATATATATTTAGTGTACATAGTATAAAAATTAAAGAAGCTGTGTTAAACGGAATCTTGTCAAAGTATCTAAAGACATATTAAATCTAAATCCTTAATTTCATTTTTATAATTAATATTTAAGATATTCAATTATGATGACTGAAAGACAGGCAATATGTGTATCTCTGAAACAAGTCTATAAAAGAACAAGAATGCTTCTTCTGACCTTTACCCTCTGTGCCCATGTCTGGTGTGGGCATCCAGATGTTAGGCCAAGCCTTCTTCCTTGTCTGACACTTACCCTCAGTGCTCATGTCTGGTGTGGGCATCCAGATGTTAGGCCAAGCCTCTTCCTTGTCTGACACTTACCCTCTGTGCCTATGTCTGGTGTGGGCATGCAGATGTTAGGCCAAGCCTTCTTCTTTGTCTGACACTTACCCTCTATGCCCATGTCTGGTGTGGGCATCCAGATGTAGGCCAAGCCTTCTTCCTTGTCTGACACTTACCCTCTATGCCCATGTCTGGTGTGGGCATCCAGATGTTAGGCCAAGCCTTCTTCTTTGTCTGACACTTACCCTCAGTGCTCATGTCTGGTGTGGGCATCCAGATGTAGGCCAAGCCTTCTTCCTTGTACAGCTTCATCATAGTGTCTGGAGTCATGGGTTCAGGGTAGCGGTTACAGCCTGACGAATTCTGGATGATATCCCATTCGGTCTGGAAATTCATGACAGCTGTAATCCCCAATTCATGCTTCAGTTTGATGGTCACATGTTCCAGCTGGCGAGGGCAGCTACCCAGCCAGATATTTGGTAAAATTCTGGAGAGAACAAATGGGAACAACAATGACTACTAACTGCATAAAACACATACAGTTAATCTTTTGCTCTGATGAGAAAATGCTGGATTTTAAAAAAATAAGAAACGATACTATTTTTCAAAACTATCCGCATTACAGTTTTAGGAAAATACATCAGGCAATCAACAAGCACCCCAGGAGATGGACCTTAGAAACTAAATCTAGCAACATTGAAACAAACTCCTCAGGTTGTCTTACTGTATGAATGCTGCACAAAACCCATCAATCCATTTCAAACACTAACAAATTAAATGTGAAACAGATACAATCACCTCGAATTTAAAAAATACACATAACTAAAATACAGCCATCACTCTTGTTTAGCACTATGTAAACTTTTTCAAACAGCCTAAGATTTGTGAAACAGGCCAAACTCAGAAACAGTGAACTTGGGTTAAATAAAATCAAAACCAAAATAGTCCATTAGCCCCCAAACACTTCTCTACAGATTTATAAAAGGTGATGTGGTAGTTAGAAGGTAGTTGGCCCCCATAGCCCCTAGGGAGTGACACTATTAGGTGGTGCGGCTTTGTTGAAGTAGGTAGGGCCTTGTTAGAGGAAGTATGTCATGGGGGGAGGGGGTATGCATTGAGATCTCATATGCTCAAGCTATGTCCATTTTAGCTCACAGTCTTCTGTTGCCTGTGGACCAGGATGTAAAACTCTCAGCTCCTTCTCCAGCACCATGTCTGCCTGCCTGCCTGCCACCATGTCCTGTCACGATGATGATGAACTAAACCTCTAAAACTGTAAACTACACTAAGTAAATGTTTCCCTTTCTATGAGTCATGGTGTCTCTTCACAGCAACAGAAACCCTAAGTAAGACAGAAGTTGGTACCAGGGACTGGGGTATTGCTGTGATAGGCCTAACCATGTTTTTGTTTGGAGAATTTGGACTTTGGCACTTTGGCTTGGGAAAGCAGTGGAATGTTTTAGCACTGCTTATGGTAGTAGGAGCATGGCTATCTGAAATGTGGGGGCTGACTCGAGAGGTTTCAGAGGGGAAGCATTTTAGTGGGTTTCCTAGAGATCATTCGTGTGCCATTTTGGTGAAAAGTGTGGCTGCTTTTTGCCCTAGTGCAAAAAGTCTGCGTGAGACTATGGTGAATAAATTTGGATGAATTCCCTCAGCAGAGGAAATCTCAAAATAGTCTAGTGTGGACTCTGTCCTGTGGTTATTAACGTTATGTGTAATGAAGATATATAATGAAAAACAGGCAAGATGAGCAAGGAAAAATACAAAATGTGCAATTTGAGGGAAAGGGGAGCACCAGGAAGTGGAATAGAACTAAGTCCTGTGTTCGGGAGGTAAAAGATTAAGAAACAGGATAAAGAAGTGATGACCTCAGGGTAAGCTCCCACCCAGTTAAGTTTCCAACTTGTGAAAAGGAATTATGTGATTGATTTTTACATTTTTTTCTATGCTCTTTGTTCTTTTGGGGCCCACCACCCAGCTCCCAAATAAATCACACATAGAGGCTTATTATTACTTACAAATGCCTGGCTTTAGCTTGGTTTATTTCTAGCCAGCTTTCCGTAACTTAAATTACCCCATCTGCCTTTTGCCTCTGGGCATTTTCCTTTTCTTCTATATATCTTTCTTTCACTCTTACTCTGTGGTTGGCTGTGTGGCTGGTCCATAGCATCCTCCGCTCCTTGTTCCCTTGCTCCTCCATCTCTCCTCCCAGGTTTGTCCTATTTATTCTTTCTGCCTGCCAGCCCAATCTATCCTTTCTCCTGTCTTGTTATTGGTCGTTCAGCTCTTTAGTAGAGCAGTCAAATGTTTTAGACAGGCAAAGTAACACAGCTTCAGAGAGTTAAACAATTGCAGCATAAAGGAATGCAACACATTCTTGCATCATTAAACAAATGTTCAACAGCATAAACAAATGTAACACATTTTAAAAATAATATTCTATAACAGAATTAAAGAAAAGCTTAGCACTGGGTATGGTGGTACATGCCTTTAATCCCAATTACATGTTTTCCTTTGTAAGAGTTGTGTGGTCATGGTGTCTCTTTACAACAGAACACTAAAACAGATGACCTAAAGGAAGAGGGCAGCATCAGTTTTCCTTTAAAGTACCAACTATTAAGAGAGAGGAGAGAGAAAGACAGACAGAGGCAGAGAGGGAATATTGTCATTATTATATCAGATAAAATTCTACATCTAAAATTGCTCAAGGTTGAGCTGCAAGCTCAGTTTCTCACTCCATAGGTCTTGAGTTGAGAGCTCCCAATACCCAACAATTCCCAGGTGATGTTGCTTATTCAAATCCTAAATCTTGAGAAAACGCTTCCCTAGAGACTCAATGATACAAAATATGTGATGTACTTAAATCATTCAGATTAAGATGTGTAGGTGAGGAAAACATGAGTAGTTTTCTTTGTACTTGCAACAGACAAGAATAAAAGTAACAGAAAGAAAATAATTGTTGTGTAAAAAATAAAAACAAATTCTAGGACAATGAGAAATACATTTAACCCAAAAGGATAATGAAAGTTTATTCAAAGACATGAAAAGTACAAACAAAATCAATCTTATCATAGCGATTATTTGAAAAATCTATTATCTTACATGTAAAATTTACCAAAATGTAAATATTTTACAAACCAGCAAGCATAATAAATTTATCATGATTTATCATGTATTGTATATATAATCTAATTCATGTATAAGCTTATTCCACACATATACATTCTCTCCAGAACTATGGGATAGATACTGTATTTCAAATTACCTGAATCATACTATATAGGGCTTAACTGAGGTTAGTGGTGAACACTACACATTCACCAGTATCTCCCTGTATTTGCTTAGAACATGGAGGACCACCAATCCTCCCTCTGCTTCAAAGTTAGATGTGTCCCACACAACTTGCTTTTGTTAATAAATGAGCTGAGCTAGTAACAAGTACCACCTCCCATTGGGTATATTTAAAACTGCGTGTGTGATTCTCTCCGCTCTCTTTCCCTGCTGCAGTGACTGAACATGTATGTGAGTGAGTTTCTAGAATGCCAAGCTACAGTCAGGAGAACAGCTGTCCTAGAGAGCTAAGAGTTTGCTCAGTGGATCCAGTTAGGACTTGCTTGTTACCTTGTTTTGATAAGACAACATCTAAGTCTTTAGTGGCTTGAAACCTCTAACATTCAAGATAGAAACTGCACGAGGGGCTGCATTTGCGGTAAGATCCATTCATGTTGCCTTTAGAGCAGTGTTGTGTGATATTTTGATCACATTATGACAATAAGGTTATTAACCATAGATATTTTGGAGGACTGAGTACAGATAGAGGGACAGGAAGTAATAAGGCAGGGCAAAAAGAGAATCTCAGCCTGTTGTCAGAGGTTTCTGTCCTGCATGGTTTCCACAGTCCCAACGAAATCAAACAGAGGTGTACATTAACTATTAACTGATTGGCCCATTAGCTCAGGCTTCTTATTAACTCTTATAACTTACATTAGCCCATTATTCTTATCTGTGTTAGCCACATGGCTCAGTACCTTTTTCAGTGGTGTAGTCACATCTTGCTTCTTCTGTGCCTGGACACGACTGCAGAGGGAGCTTCCTTCTTCCCAGAATTCTCCTGTTCTCATTGACCCACCTCTACTTCCTGTCTTGTTGTCCCACCTATACTTCCTGCCTGGCTACTGGCCAATCAGCATTTATTTAAAACATAATTGACAGAATATAGACAATTGTCCCGCACCATCAGTCCTTTTGGTCGGAGGAACAGAAGAGACAGGGTTTCTGGGTACTTCTCTACTGTGTCTCTGATCACTCAGATTCTTATCCGGATATCTGACTCCTGACTTTTTATTGGTAGAGAATAATTAGATAACTACATCAAAACAGTGGTGGACTACTGGGTCAATCAGCTTTGGCAATATTAATGAGATATTTTGGATTTTCATACTGGGTGGTGGTATATGCACCTGGCAGGTTAAGATCAGTAGTGTCGCTGAGTATCTACAATTCAGAAGGCAGGGGCCACAACAAAGAAGCATCTAGTTCTAAATGTTAACAACACAAACATGAAAAAAACTTGGCTTATAAAAACAAAAATGGCACCGAACTCTGAACCCTTCGAAGAGAGGAAGGCAACATGAAATAGGTGTAAGCTCACTATATCTAACCAGGGATTGCAGGGCTAATAGTTCATTCTGTTCTGACAACAGAAAGCTAACATTGTGTTTTAAAATGCATGCATATGGAGCTGGAGAGATGGCCCGATGGGTAAGAACCCTTACTGCTCTTGCAGAAGACTCATGTTCAGTTCCCAGCACCCACACAAAATAACGGCTATCTGTAATTCCAGCTTTAGGGCTTCTGACATCCTCTGTAGGTCTCTGTGGCCATTGCACACTTTTGGAATAGGTCTAAGTAGTACTTAGTTGTACTTATTTTGTGATTTAGTTAGTTTTAGACCTATTCCAAAAGTGAGCACATCAGAAGCTTAGAGATAGTAAATAACTTGGCCTAAAGTCATATGACTGTTACTAAGTACCAGTCCTGACATTTGAACTCGGTCTGATTGGCTATAGGTAGCACCATTTCCACTGTAGCTAAAAACGTTAGAGTGCTTTTCAGACATCTAATATGGAGCTCCTATTTTGCTCTAGCTCCTTCTTATATTTGCACATATGAATATTTAAGGATTTATTTATTCTTATTTTATATATATGGTGTCTTGCTTCTGTACCTTGTATGTGCAATGGCCACAGAGACTATTTTCTTCACTTGAATGCTGCAAGGTACAGAATGGTCACTTATTTTTTAATATGAAATCTATGTTGGCTTTTTACCCTTTTGTCCTTTCTTCTGTGTGTTCACTTTTTTGCTTTTTTGTGGCAATTCTTGCTGTTGCTCATGTGAACATGAAAACAATCCCCTCACTTCAAATGCAGGTATTTCTGATCCTCAGTAGAAACATCTCAAAGGACCTAACCATCTTTCTAA